ACGTGGCTACAAGATCTAACATAATCCCCGTCTTAGCATACTGATTCTTCTCCACCTTACGCTTTTATTCACTTCTATTTTTAAAAAGTTATTTAGAAAGCAACGTTACTAAAAAATGTTTTTTTACAAACATATTTTAACCACATTTATAACAATTAAAGAATAATAGTTGTTAAATTTCTATTTTACTCAATTATGTTTGTAAAAAAACATTTTTTTTAGTAACGAGGTGGTTTCATTTATTACCTAAAACGATAAAAATGTCGACTAATTTAGGTGATATGTGTGTGTTTGTAGAAGTGCATCAATGCAGGTTTGTGTCCTTGCTACTTATTTTAAAATAACTTCAAATTTGACTGTGACTGTTGCTTCACTTGTCAAACGCCCTAAAACAAAATTTCATTGATATCTATAGCCCAATTGTACTATACATTGTTGTACGTGTCTTTGTGAAATGAATAACAGCTTTATAGTATCATTTAGTAATTAATTAATTTTTAAAAGTTAAACATTACAAACCATTAAAATGTTTAGGATTTGATCATGATGGTAGACCTAATGCTTCATTTATTATTAAAAAGTCCAGAATAAAAATGCGTACGGATAAGTACACCTTTTTTACAAATATTTTTTGTTCTTGATTACGCATTTTCCCCGACATGCCGTTCTTTTATTTTCTTTTTACCGATTTTAAAACTAAACAATGAATCTATATTTAAGCTAATTTGAAAATATCTCAAGGCCTGCACTGTAGACCAGTTTAAATCATCGGTGACGTTTATGGGGATTCCAAATTAACGAATGACTTAATAGATCTGATAACCTAAGTACCGGTATTTTTAATCTTTTAAGATAGTACACTGAGTAGCTTCCACATGTTTGTTTGCTTAAGTTACTGTGGGTGACATGAGTTATCTTCGCTTTAGTCCAATCAGCGCGCTTGATGTTAAGTCACGGCTGTGAAAATACATTGGTTTGAAATACATCTTTTAAATGTTTATGTCACAAACGACTGAAGCTGAGAGTTATTTATCATTCTTTTTCTTGACAACTATTCGCATAGCTGTTTAAAATAAATTAATCTAAATAACGGCTATATTTTATAGACCTACACGTTTGTATCTAACAATTTATTAGGGCCTCTAATGGAATATACATGCCAATTGCTTGTTACCATATGACCTCTGTGTAATCTGTTAGGGTTGATTTGAAGGGAAACATGTTTCAGTTCCTTAGGGATCGAATCGAAAAGTCTGTTTTTATTGGATACTTACTTCTGATGAAATATACACACCGCATTTCACCTGCTAAGATTGTTGAGTACAGGATGGCGGGTTATGCAATGTGAGAAAAAAAAAAAGTTCTACCTGTTTCTAGCTGCTCTGGGATTTAAAAAACACTTTTTAGTTGCGTCGCTTAGGAGTATAGTGGGAAAGTTTGCACTTCGTGCACTTTTAGGAGTGATCTGTGGATTAAAACAGATTGTGCTAGTATTGTGCTTACTTTCAGTCAAAATATAAAGAAGGCATTGCGTTCTTTTTTTTTTTTAATCAAATGTTAAAATCAAGTATAATTTTGTTTGAGCAAAAGGAAGAAAAAAATTCTTATCCCTCCAGGGTTAAAAGAACCCGACTCTGTTTCTGGTGGTTGTTTATTCGAGGGAAAGACAATATACCCCAATCATCGTGTTTATAGTTCACTGGGAAGGTGCCATTTTATTGATGAGTCAGTCACACGTTCGTAACCGATCTTTATGTCAGACCACGCGTTGTCCTAGTTAAGATAAATAACTGGAGACTTTAATTTGTAGCACGTGTTTTTCGTCTCTCTCATTCTCTCATTTTCATCTCTCTCTTTCTCTCACCGTCTTGTAACGAAAGATAAAAACCAAAAGTCGATGGTATTTTTTAAAAGCTACATTTTCCTATTGAATTAAAAAAAAACGATCCTCAACAGCGATACAAACCAGAAAATAAAATGAAAACCTCCCGACAAAGTTTATCGCCATTTTTTGGCTTCTCTTGCCCGAAAAAAAAATAGTTTTACGAAATTCATTCTTGATCTTGTGTTGCTATTTCTAGAGTATAAAAACTTTTAAAATTTATCCATGTATGTAATTTAGCAAAGGCTTCCTTTTGGTTAATTAGTAGCATTTTAATCTCACTTTTTGTTTAATAGTATTCTTTCTTAAGACGTTTTCCTTTAAGTTTTTGCCGTAGCCTTACATCTAACACGTGTTTTTTAATAACTTAAAGAGAACAGGAAATATGTTTACGACTCTCAGACACCGTGCTAAATTAGCCGCCTAAATGCATAGTTAGGCGAAAACCGCCTGCCATTTTAAGAACAATCACCAAGAACAATTTTCTTCCGGTGATTAAGTGTGAGCTGAACTGTGTTAAGAAATGCCATTTGCTGTTCGCGCTGTTGTCACCGTTCTCAGTGAATGTAGCCGTGGTGTTCGCTGATTCTACTGGAACCTTTGTTCAGTGGACACAAGTGTTTGACAAGATGTGAACTAATACACCCACACCCCTACTCAAGTATGTTTTAGCTGAGTTTCCCCGCACTACCTCTGAAGGACTCTTCTAGCCAAGCAACAATGTCTTTTAAGAGGCAGCGTCGAAGTTTGCCTTGCCTACCCACCAGCCTGACAAACCCAGCCGGGCTTCCTGAGGAATTTAAAGAGTGTGATCGCATCTCCCCTGTGGGGTTTTTGAATGAGCACGGTCGGTTATCTGGGCGTCGATCCGTTTCCCCGGTTCGAAGTCCTCCTATGTCGGGCCACGGTCGAATCAAACACCAGCCGTCTGCCCTAGGGGGATTTGTTGGTTCTCCTGGGTTAAATCGGCTTTCAACACTAGGCAGTACCCTTTCCCAGCATGAAAGTTTGAGAAGATACCACTCTTCCGGGTGTACATACGCAGTTTCCTCTAATAGCTTGAATGCGATTATTGCAACGGAAAGTGCAATTAAACACCAGAATAGCTGTCCAAGTAATCTAGGGTTGCTGGATCGAGCCCTATCGGGGCAGCACCAGCGTGTTCACGCGGTACAAAGTTTGCACCTCAACTCTTCAACTGAAAGCGCAGGCCACTCAAGCGGCAGCAACCAGCATTCCGACGACAACGATAGTGACCTGGAGTCGAAGATTTACCGGCGCAGCCCCGGGCTGGTGCACCAGGGGAGCATACCGTCTTGCCACTCTGATCACTCAGACAGGTCGACAGAGCCGCATCGGTCAGGCAGATCAAAGCTTGTCCGGCAAGCGAGCATGTCGAGCACCCTGCCACCAAACTACCACAGCCCCAACCAGCTCAGCCCGTCTTCGCCGCAACGTGAAAGCCCTGCTCCTATGGCAGGGCAAGCAGGCCTCCGCCCCTGCCCACCGCTTCAGCGCAATGAATCTATGATATACGAAGAGGATGTCCCAGTCATTGTACGGAGACGTGGGTGTATGTTAAGGGTCAGGATAACGTCTTTTGTTGATTGTGATGACGCCGAAGATGGAACAACAGTAAGTAATACTCGAGGGACTCATTGCTTTATAACGTTAAGCTACATATCATAATTAATTTGTGTTGGCCCATTTCACTGTTGTAGTTCACACATTTTATCGCTAAACAAAACCCAATTTCTCCTTAACGGTTGGTTTGTTATTAGTTTTAATGGTTGTTTGGTTAAAAACAAAAACACTGACTGTTGGATTTTAGCCTAAGGCTGCGTAGACTAGGTGATTACGTGCTTGACAACGTTTGACTAAATACGTTTTGCCCGTTTGAACAGACACTTTAAAGTGGTGTTGCACAGAACTGCAAAGTGGAAGCGCAAAACAAATTCATATTTTTAAAATGTAGCCAAAACAAATTTGACAATGTCATTTAATGAGCTTTTAAAAAATCGTATGGCTGAGCTCGCTGTTGCTTTGTTATGAAAAAATTGAAGTCTGCGGCCGATAAAAGAGACGTTTTTCTTGAGATTTAAATTTAATTAGAAAAAATGCCATTCTTCTCTTAGCCAACAGCAATTACTTCCGTTTTTTTTAAACCCGCTATATATAGCAGTTTATTTTTTTTAACGAATAATCAAAATGTCATGTGCACGTTTGTCTATTACCACGTTTGTCTATTACTTGAGCATTTTCTATGGGTTCCTAATGTGGTAGCCGGGTTAAGATGAGCGAGTGTTGCTTGAAAATGATGTTATGTCGGCGTTTCGGAAATGCAATTTAACCATGCATTTTTTATGTTCAATTAAGAACTCGCTAGGAAATATTTACTTTAACCCACACGGGGTTTCAAATAATCGTTCTTTTCAATCATTTGTGCTTGTTCAAGTGAATTACCAATGCCGTCTGGCGTGGTGATGTTATGTTACATGCATATTAAAACAATTTACTTACTGTTTCACCATTATATATTAGTCGAGCGTTAGTTTTTGCCCTTAGTATCAGGTTCAGTTAGCTGACATAAGTCCTGACTCTCATCCACCCCATTTCCGATGGGTACCTGACCAGAGTCGGGGGAAGTAATGGCGACTGGGTTTTTTTTTATGCGGACCTCACAGTCAAAGTTTTAACCTAAGTGAAAGAAACTAGTACATTCTACTTTAGATGCACTTGGGGTCTTGAGGCCTGAGAGGACATAATTTAGTACTTTACTGTCTTTATATAACCAAAATATACCTTTACAAACCAGAAAGTAAATGCTTAAGTTGTAAAGATTTACGGGCAGTGCCACATAATGACCATCCATTTGCTGAAGCGGCAGGTAAATCTCTCACACACTCACGCCCTTTTCAAATATTTATATACACATATGTTTTTAATCCAACTGCAGGTAAGGATATCAAATGACAATTTTGGCACTTGCACCTACAAGCACAGCATTGTAAATGGAAAGCACTATGCATGAAAAATGTTGTAACAGTTACTTTTTACTATGGTGTTGTATTCACTTAGATTACATTTTAAATTACTTTTTATTATTCTCCCCTTCCAGTCTGAGTTTCACAACGTTGGGCCAACGTCCCCATTATTACGCAAGTGTAGAGATGAACTGCCTTTTGCCGGCGGGTTACGACGGCTACAGAGAACTTTATCGGAGGATACAAAGCGACGAGAGAGCATGCCATCAACACCAACAGTACCCCACCCGCCACCCATCATGACCCACCGTAAGTCTCGATACTTTACCACCCTGTGAACCTTACCCTTTGTTAAACATCCAAGTATAAGTTTACATGTGTGTGTAATAAGCCACTGAAGATGAACAGATATAGCGTAACATCATTTGACCAGTACAAACCAGTTGATGTCAGAAAAAAAGATACACAGCATAAACACACTGGCGCAACAATCAATAAAACTGAGACCTTGCCTGTCCTTCATTGAGTTTATCTCCAACGGGCTTTTACGCCATTGATTTAAACTTTTTTTCTCTTTATCGGCATCTGTGGCTGCACTGCCCACACCGTATCGATTTATATCAATTGAGCTTAATCGAACACATGTTGGGCTTTAAAACACATAAATATCACAGGCTATGTCACTAGGATGTCTTTGGGCATTGAATTCTGTTATTAGAATAAAATGATCTGTTTATTTTTTTAAAATATTCTGGCTATCCAAAATTGAACTGTCAAATACAGATACAAAGATAACAAAGGGCCTTGAACAAACGTGTGTTGACTATTGTGTAAGGCAAATAATATGGTCCATTTACTTAACGTTTGAATTGCCTGTATGTGCTATACTGAATACAAGCCTTCTCGGTAGACCTGGCTAAGGGTAGGTTTTTGTGTAAGGATTCAATCTGAAAACCCCGTATTAGGACGTAGGGTGGAAGCTGTGAGGGGGAGGGGGAGGGTTTGTTGCTCTACAGATGACAAGATAAGGGTAGTTGTTTGTCTGGTCCCGTCATGACCTTGGAATCTGTCGGGGAGATGAGGGAGATGAAGGGCTTTTTTTTCTCTGACAGTTTAAAGCCAACATTTTTCTTTTTTTCTACTTAAATAATACATACTCATATCCCAATATAAGATGTACCCAGATGCGGTCACTAATTTAATTTATCAGAAACTACGGTAATAATAAAAAAAATTGACTCAGAAATAAAGCTAATTGTTATCCTATCCGTATTCGCCCCTTCATTGCCGTCACTACACTGTGTTACTATGGCAACCTTGACTCTTAAACAAATAGTGGTCACAACCCCATCCCCCCTCCTTCCCCTACCCCGAATGTTCCTTGTTAGTAATGTTAGGGAACATAAAAAAACTGGTAGAGAATGTAATCTTGTGGCTCACAAGATTATTGGTTTAAAAACTGACCGAAAGTCTCCATGGACTACCCTGGTGACGCCATCTTCCATCTTATAGTACGTGGTAAACAAGGTTGGTGGGGAGGGGGGAAAAACTAACCTTTTTATATTATACAAATAAATATATTACTAACCTTTAGTCTAACACAATTGTCTACCATTAGATTTGATAAAACGTTTATTTGAATTTGATAAGACATGGTTTTGTAACAGCATTATTCTGTTTCAAATTATCTTTGTATGTGACCGTTTGCCCCTTTATTTGTGAACGGTGGCCGGCAAGAGATAAGCCTAACATCAGTTACACAAAATCTCCATCACCGTGGTCTTAGTGATTAGTGTCGAAGATATATGGGGCGGTGATTTGTTTTAAAACCCAGTAACACATCACTGTTTTACATCACTATTTTAGAATATAAAAAAATAAATGTCAATTTTTTTATGTATACTTGTGTCTAATAATTTCTAAATATCCGTGTGTTTTTTTTTCCCTCTGTACTCCAACAACAAATTTTTCCCCCAGATATTAGCACTCACGCCGAGCCGACAAACCTTTTACGGATGAAAACTACAGCCCTTGGCCAGTCTGCTCCATCTCTGACCAACTCTCTGGTAGGCACTGTTTATTACTTGACCTAATTATCTTGGCATTTAGAGAGGAAATGTCAAAACACAATAATTAGTTGTCTTCAATGGAATTGTTTTACAGGAAATTACGTAATGACGTACATTTAAAGTAAATGTTAAGAGTTTGTTTACACATATAAAAATGTTCTGTATGAAATATCGATTATTGTTAATTTAGAAAAAAAAATTGCATTTACAATTTTTATCATACAAAGCATAATCTGTTTTCATTTTAAGGATTTCTGAAATGAACTAGATTTGTTTATAATGTATGTATCAGTAGGTCTTGTGTCTGATCTAGTATTATTGTTGGATATACGTAATTGAAGCTAAGCCTTCCTACACAGCAAGCCATCAGACACAACAAGATTACCTTCCCCTAAGTCTATACTTAACCATCCATCTATTTTTCGGCACGTTATCTTCACATCTCGCTAATCTATGCGTGCAATCCCTTAATCTGCATGTCAGATTCAGTATCATTTTGTGCTCGTTTCTGATCTAATACCCACATGCAATGAATTTCATTATGCTTTACTGCATCAGCTGTGTAGCCTGTATCTCCCAGTATTATAATGTTTCATATATAAGAATTATATTCCGGCCTTAAAAAACTCCCGACAGTCCTACCCAGTTTCGTTCAGTGACGGATCTTTGGCAGATCTCAGTTGTCCGGAAACAGGGGAAGTCATTCTGCCCCCGTTTCTATCATTTTCTCTTAGCTCTGGCTGATGAGATTTTTGTTTTTAAAAAAATACAGCAAAGCTCGACCAACCGCGGGCCGCATAATGTCCCCGTGGACATATGGTGCTGTCTGGGATGCCATAAATTTACGCAACCCAAAAACTTTTTGTTTGTTTTTTCTTCTTCGTTCTTAATTGTAATATTCTTAATTTTTAATTGAAATTCATCCAACACACTAAAAAAATTGCGTCCCAGGGTGGTATGCGCAGACTCCAGACTAGTTTTCTTACTTGATTTGGTTCCATGGCCTTAGTTCAACCAAGACCAATCTACAAGGCAGCAGTTGTTTGATTTTGGAGTTTTCTCTCCTAGCTCTAGACGACTCATTGCCGGTAAAGTGGTTAGACGTAGCTGCTAATTTACATCAGTGTCGGTCCCAGTGCTGACATTGTATATAGCGTCTACACACAAGGCTAGCGTGTGTGACCGTCATGTCCAGTAGCCTGCTTGTTAGCCCACGAGGGTTGTATTGTAAGACCAGTTGTGTAGGTGTTGACACTTTGCTCAGAACGTATGTTCTAACTCTTTAACATTTCACTGCTGTCCGATGACGCCAAACGTTTGGACAACGGGACTTAAGAATGTGCCAATTCTCTTTATTATTTAATGAAGTCTCGCGAGAGTCCCAGACCTTTATGTTATCCCCTGTACGGCCTTTTAGAATTGCATGTGTTTCCTGGTAATATCCATCTTAGAAACTTACTGTTCTCTTCATAATTGTGTAACCTTTAGGTTTCCAATCGTAAGTGAAAATATGAAAGAAAGGCAGAAAGTGCGGTTTGATTCGCTTAAAGGGAAGAACGCTGGTAAATCAATTGACCAGACGCAATGATGGATCGATAATGACTGTGGTGTCTGACGTCAAACAAAAAAATCTATATTTGTTCTGTACAAAATCCTGCACATTCGTACGCTGGCAGGATTTTCATCATTACTGAGTGGAAGTGCTATAGAGCATTATAGAAATGAAGACAACATTTAGCTTTGTTGACACCTCTCTAACTAACCTAATTCTGGCCGCCTGATCTTATCACACCAGCACGGGCTTATTTGAGACGCCTGCCCTCTTTATAACGGATGGCTGTTTAATCATCAGACAGGGTTCGTTGTTCATGCGATGGCTTGGGATAAATCAAAGCAGCCGATAAACATTAAAAAAATGGACGTATTTTTTCTGATTTAAAACAAGCCAGCTCAACTATTAATGTACAAGGCAGCTGGTGCATCTGTTTGATCAGAAATTTGGTGCATTGAACATTTTAAGATAAGCTGCCGGCTCAAGCAAACAAAATCTACGTATGTCAGATTTTGGTGTTGTATCATAAAAAAAAACAACCCCAATTCAGACGAGTGGTTTTTATTTATTGAATAATTTATACATATGGGCCTTTTTAAGATTTTAAATGGGTGTACATCCTAAATATATGAGACGGCGTGGCATAGCAGTCGATAGCTAGACTGTTAACCCGATAGTTTAGAACTCGAATCCAGGTTCAAGTTAGTGGAACGTCCACCCAACTCTGATGGGTACCTAACTCACCTTAGGGAAAGTAAAGGTGGCTGGGCAAAGTGCTGACCACATTATCCCTTTATATGCCCCAAGGTCAAGAAACATGCGAACTCCACTTCATCTGTCCAATGGTTCGTTAGGTCTAAAGAGGATTCTTTACTTTACATCCTAAATATGATTTATGATAGTTCTATGATTTTTCTTCTAATTTTGTTCTAAAATGCGATATTTCTAAGCATTTATCTAGCATCTTTTGTTTCTTAAAAGTTCAAACCAACAATGCTAATTTTCTGATATGTTTAAAACATAAAATAAATCATATTTAGCATGAAAACAAACATTGAGATGTAAGCATTATAAAACATAAACGTCTAGTACTGGCCTAGCTGAATCTGGATATAATCTCCGACTGATAAAAAAACGAGAGTTTGCCCGCAAGTCATGATGGGATTATGGCACAAAAATAAAATGAAAACTAATATCAGCGCTCGAGTTACACAATATCATCATGACAAAAAGATGATGAAAAGAGAATGTTGTTGACGCAATGGAGATTCATAATGTCAACTAAGAAATGTAATAAATGTCAGATGTAACAAATTAACTACGCCAAAATATGATGTTTTGTAACGTTACAGCGGGATCTTACATCTCTAGATATAAATACATTGTTTAAAAAGATTGTATACATGTTAACAATTACGTTCTTGATGATATACTGAAAAATGTTTTTTTTAAAATAGTAATACCCCTCCGCCCCTTTCAGATAAGAATACCTTAAAGTTAAAGTGAACGGCCACAGCATGTTTTCTCCAAGAGCCCACTCTTCAGTTGCTGTTTTTTTTTCTGTTTTCAGAAGGACATGACAGTGACAAGAAGAAACAGCAGAAATTACGGCAGAAAGTCTGTAGTAACAATGACATCACCAACTCTTCCAGCCCGTTGTCCGTCGCCACAGATAAATACGGGTAAGTCAGGGGCAAGGCCAACTACTCATACTTTACTTTGTGTTTTACAGCTAATTCCCGAATCGTTTCCCTTGGTTTATTTTGTGAATGTGTGGGTGTTTCTACAGTTTGACAAAGGCCCATATAAATTATGCTGCTTTTTTTTTTGTAACTGTGTATTTAAAATGTTAGCCACATCAACCAAGATTTTATGTAGCTTTTTTTTTTGTCGATCCACCTTAACCTGGTCATGGATCCTCAAAATATCCTATCTACATCCCACCTGCTTTCACTATTCTCTCTGCTCTAGTCACCCCAGGCTATTGCTTGCTTTGTATCACACACGTTTTTTAAAGGGTTACCTTGACTATAGTGAAAGAAAAGCTATGTTTAAAATCTTGGATCTCTAAGCTCTATGTATTTCTTGTAAGCTGAACAATTATTCTATTTGATTTAAATATTCATCTGTAATGTCTATGTTTTCTCCTCTATCACTTTCCCTCTCTCTACCAACATAGCTAGGCTAAACAGTAAAAATTCTGACGCATTGGTTAAAGCGCTACTCTTTTTAGTCCACCTATGTTGGTTTAAAAAAAAAACCAGCCCTCTCCTTCCCACTCGTTTTTTTTTTCACTCACGTAACTCATGGCGCGTCTGTTGACGTCTTAGAAACCGAAGCCATTGATCGGCTCACAGAAACGTCTAACGCTGGGTGTTCTTGAGGCACATAACAATACAAACATAGGGTGATTGACTTTTTTTCAGGGCGAAATGTAAATTTTACAATACGATTTATGGTGTGATGGAATGGAATTTGCTGAAAGTTATTCTCATTGTAGGCATATTCCCAGACAAACAAAACGATTTATTGCTTCTTTTGTCTTCGGTAACTAGCTTTATCAGAAGACATTCGTGTTTGTCTTTTTAAAAAAATGAATGTTTTTAGTTGGGCTAATATTCCATCTGTTAACCCTTGACTTTATGGTCGATTTGTTGTTTTTTAAAAATGTTTATTATCACAGGAAAAAACGTACATTGGTTACAGACACCCTCTTCCAAACTGACGTGATTGTCCATTTTTGGTCTTGTCTGCCTTCACATTATGTCTAATCCTCTCCTTCACCCTAAGTTGACGTCACAAATTAACCCCCACCCCCTCTTTCTCTTAAAATAACCACAATTCGAAAGCAAATCAGCATGCCTATTATATTTATTTATTTTTAATCTAGGAAACATTAACTATGCTACGTCACATTTTTAACACCCGTCCCCACAGGATGTTTAATGTCAATTAGAATACCAGCTAAAACAGTTACATTTTAAAATATATAAAAGTAACCATAATCATCCACTTCGCTAATGTATACGGGTGTGGTTTACATAAAATGCATCAAGCCACAGGTCAACTCATGATATGCAGGACTATCCATTATGTGCAGAGCTTGCAACTATACCTAGGACTACCCATGATGCTCCAGTCTACCTATTATATTCAGTACCACTCATGATACTCAGGACTACCCATGATACTCAGTCTACCTATTATATTCAGTACCACCAATGATACTCAGGACTACCCATGATACTCCAGTCTACCTATTATATTCAGTACCACTCATGATACTCAGGACTACCCATGATACTCAGTCTACCTATTATATTCAGTACCACCCATGATACTCAGGACTACCCATGATACTCAGTCTACCTATTATATTCAGTACCACTCATGATACTCAGGATAACCCATGATACTCAGTCTGCCTATTATATTCAGTACCACCCATGATACTCAGGACTACCCATAATACTCCAGTCTACCAGTCTACCTATTATATTCAGTACCACTCATGATACTCCATTCTACCCATTATATTCAGTACTACTTAACTTATGATACTCAGACTACCCATGATATTTAGGACTGCACATGATACGGCACGACTTCCCATGATACTCACGCCTTCCCATGATACTCGCGATTTCTCATGATACTAACGACTTCTCATGATACACATTACTAAATGATATGAAATTTCTTTTCTTTACATTTCTAACTTATATTAATAATATGCGTAGAGAGCATCCATTTATGACGTCCACAACAATTTCGGATTTTAGATTCCCCCTCCCACTTTTGACGATTAAAAGTATTATCTACAGCAGGGGTCTCCAAACTGCGGCCCGCGAGGTCCTCTCATCCGGCCCGCGGAGATCCCTTTGTCCACGGAAAAAACGTTTGTTGGTGATGGCTGAGGAACTTGCCCAGAAAAATCAAAGACATGGCTGGAACTAACTGGCCCCCGAACTGAAATTTGATAGTTAATGCGGCCCTCGGGCTGAAAAGTTTGGAGACCCCTGATCTACAGTATAGAGAGAAAAATAATTATGTTTTAAACGGCAAAGTATTAATATATTATTTATTTCAATGATTTTCCCCAGTTCCAATAAAAAACTAATACAACACATGGAGTTTGCGTTTGAGGGCGGGGATGTGGTGGTGTTTAAAATGCTCTGTGCTCGTTTGATGAATGTTAACATTTTATATTAGCATTTATAAGATTAATAAGTCGCAAGGCCTCCTCAGGCTCGTGACCTCAATTCCTGTTTACTTCATCTCTCGCTTACCAAAAAGGTGCTATTTTTATGAGGGTCGTCCCTAGATGACGTCACTCTGTGACGACACGAATTTGTAATAATGCTACAAACTCAATTTAAGCCGTTGCTTCACTTAGGTATTAAAAAAATAATTAAACTCTAATAAAAAAAATACAATAGGCCATCTCTAAGTTGACAGTGCTTAGTAAATATTTTTTTAAAAATTTGCTGTTTTTTTTTAATTGTAGTTGTGAGAAGGGTTGAAGTCGTCATTGTAGGTGTTGGGTCCTGTTTTTTTTTGTGATGCGTGACTTTGGGGAGGAGTGGGCAGAGGGAGGAGTAGGCTGAAATCGTTAAAAATAATGTCGTCGTTTATGGTATGGTTGTCCTCAATGTGGTAATATTATAAATAATGTGCTTTAAAACACTAACCCTGTCGTCGTAAATTTACTTTTTACATGAAGGATACCAGTTTTATGTTGGTTTTTTAAATGTAAACATTTAGATATTCAATTCAACATATAAATGTCCACATGGACCCGAAACTTCACCCCTCTCCCCAAAAATCAATTTTTCTCGGGCCACCTCCCCCTCCGTGTGGACATCATAAATGGATGAATCTAATGTCTCGTAAGAAATAGGATTGATAGTGGGGCGTCTTGTTCTAGCTGTGAACTTTACGTTGTTTAGTGAATCATTGGGTAAAGTCAATATACGGATTATACCATAGATTATACCATAAGATACCATACAATATAGCTAACAGCATGCAGTCCATAAGATAAAGGGATTATAAGACCATTATGCATACCACAATAAAGTATAAGATGAAATGACCCTAATCTGCAGATATTAATAAACATAGTATCATAGACATAAGAACCACGTGTCAGTACTGGATAGCCATTGTTTGACACAGCATTGATGCAGTTTTTTTCTCAACCCGGGTGTACTGCCTAGCAGACAATAAGCTGGCAGCAGACCACATTCTAAATTCTGTATTGCAAGCTTGAAGTGGCAGCTAAGACCGGAAATGGCCTGCAAGTCATGGTGGCTAGAGCAATAATGTGATGTGATAAGGCCATGACGCATACAATGTGCTAACATTGAAACCACTAGATCAGCGATTCCTTCTCTCCCATCCCCACCCCCAATATATTGTGTAGTGTCGATTCGGTATTTTTGGCAAATTGTCACGTGAAAATGTTGGGGTCCGTGTTAGTTTTAATTGTTGTGTTTCAACATGTTGCGAGTATTTTATTCACTTAGCTTAGATTACAGTGATTATAATTAGACATATGTCGTTGTGTTTTCTATAACACAGGAGCTTCTCTTCTTACGGGGACTGCAGTGTCCAGGTTCCACCGTAGAACTTAATAGGTGAATTTTATATTATGTTGTGTATGCCGAGCTTTCAGGTAGAAAAAATTCCACAATCATCGCAGTTACCCATAGGTTATTTCTGTAAGTTAAATGGGTTGAAGACTTAATTAAATAAATCAACTCGCATTTGAAATAGTTTGTTCCTAATACTCTAATGCTCATTCATGCAGTGCATTTCCAGCGGCAAGAATTTTGTAGCTATAAATTTCCTCTTTAAAGATACGAGAAAGTTTATAACCTAAGCTGAAGGATATATTAGTTGCGTTGGAGTTAAAAACTTAGCTCACCGAAGAAAAAAAATGATTACAAACAAGCAAACACCCACACGATGAAATATTAGACTTGTTGGCAATAAAGCCACCTCACGACCGTAGACCTGAAGAAAGCAGGCCAGACCAGTACGCCTGGGTAATATCGAATATTTTAATACATTAGACCAGCCACTTTCACTTTGAGCCTCATCATTTTTAACGTTCTGACATAATAACATTTGCTGGCGATAGCTGCTAGATGAAATGACATTTGCTTTTACCAGTCTCTCTCCGTCGTTTTCTGTAAGCAGGGGAAAAAAGGGGATGGAATATCTTAGTTTAAACGATTTTTTATTGGTTAGATTACCAACCCTTCTTGACTCTCTCTCTCTCTCTCTCTTACATTTTAAGAGGTCAGTTGTCTCTTTTAACTTAAAAATATTTGCCGCAGTCTCCCAGGGGTAAGACATAGAGAAGAGTGCTCGGCTGGCAGCTTCAGTGGGGCTATACGACTGTACCAGCTGTTTATCTGTACCGGTACAGTATTTTTCCCCCATTACAATCAAGCTTTACCAGCTCATATATCGAGCTATAACAGTGGATTATTTTCTTTCCAACGTTGACAATGAGGTTAAACAAACGAGTATGTTTATTCTATTCATCTTTCTGTACGTCGTGTGGTACCCTGTAATGTACACTATCGACTTAGCTATTCACATATTGACCAATGTCACGACGCTGGCGCACGAAGGAACCAGCAAAAACATGGGCACGCCGCTGTCAAATACA